AAAGTGGAGGTGCTGTTGATGTGCCAGACACGCTGTTCCTCTGGCAGCTCATTCCCCTGCAGCAAATAAATCTGCAGCAAATAAATCTGCCTTTACCGCCGAGACATTCATCTCTCCTAAGAATATTAAATTCTGCTGATAGTCACTGTACTGACACTATCCAAGCCGCTGATGGGGCAGTTTCTGGAGGATAAACCGTGAGGTGCCGATTTTCTCTGCCACCCGCATAGGCAAGACTGGAGGAGGAAAGACAAAACAGAATTTATTGTGTTTCACACCCTATGCTTCAGCTCGGATCTGAGAAAGCTGCCGGTCATCCGTTTCACCTCTCCCCCAGCGTTAAGCCTCAAAAGGCTCATCCCAGCACCCAGTCGTCACCCGACATGGGGAGGCAGCGAGCAGGAGCTGCCCGCAGATGTCAAAGGAGTGAAGCCAAGGCACATCCCCACCGCCTGGGAACGGCCCACTAATTTAATTAACCATGGAGCTTGTGTTCACCCGTTGCATGGGGCTCTGTGTGCCCATGGGGCTGGAGGTGATCTCCTCTCTCCCTGTGCTCTGAACGTGGCCACGGCCCTGTTTCAGAGGCTGGTGGAGATTTCTTGCCCTGCTCTCCCTGTGCCTGCGTCCCCCCGTGGCTCCTGGCCCCACTCCGGCCCTGCCAGAGGGAGCAGGGTCCTTCCCTGCGCCACAGGCTGAGGATATTTAGAGCACAAGAAACGAGTTAACCTTTAACAAAAGCTAACTGCAACATTTAAAGTAGCCTAGACAACATTAGCAAATTACTAACACTATTTCATCCCCTTTTCTGCACTCTGTGGTCTCAAGCCGATGTTGAGGAACCATCCGCATCCCTGATGAAGGCTGCATCCTGCATCCCAGGATGGAGCCCGCTTTGCTGTTTCTTTTCCCAGCCAGCGGCCTGCCGCCCCTCACACAAGACCCATGATGTTTTTACCGCCCCGCAGACGCAGGCGCTGAGCACAAGGCAGCCTTTTGTCTGGGCTTGCCGGATCTCAGGGACCGCACGTTTAGCCACGGACCGGGCGTTTTCATTTCTCGCATATCTTACAGCTGATGTCAGCACGGCGCGGGGGCGGCTGCGAGGGCTCTCCTGCGCCAGGGGAGCACAGCATGGCCGCGTCTCCATGTGTTCCCCCCCAAATTTCTGGATATTGCCTTCCAACCCTGGTACTGCCAGGGAGGCATCGCTCCCACGCCTTGGCAACTCGCAATCGGTGGGAGAAACAATTTGGGATCATCTGGTTTTTGACAAGGAAGGGGGGATGCCGCCGGCTGTTTCTTTTGTGCCTTGTATCTGTCTTGGGTATCGACACCGAACCACGGCGTGCTGGGGTGCGAGTGGCTCACGTGGCTCTGGCCGGGTCCAGTGCCAGCGAGGTCGGCTGGGGCACAGAGGAGAGCTGGGGGCGAAGCGGTGCCCCATGGGGACAGGCACAGCCCCAGGGGGGCTGGGGGCTCTGCTCCTCGGGGGTCCGTGCCCCAGCGCAGCCCCTGCACGGTCACGCACTGTGTGGTTCTACAGTGGCTTCAAAAGCAGCTTTTGCCTGCTGGCTGTGGATGAGGTCTGCAGGCATGGGGCGTAGAATCACAGAATGCTTTGGGTTGGAAGGGACCTTTAAGGGTCATCCAGGCCAACCTCCCTGCCATGAGCAGGGACATCTTCAACTCGATCAGGTTGCTCAGAGCCCCGTCCAACCTGACCTGGAATGTTTCCAGGCGTGCAGGGTCCCCTTCTCCCCAGGATGGACCTTCGGTGGGGTTGGCTGTTGTTCCTCCGGCATCTCCCCTTTGGCATTGCCATCCTCCCTTCTCATCCCCATCCTGCCACCGAAGCGCTCCGTGTCCAGCGTTGTGCTCAGGCAATCTTGGCATCCCCGGGGACACCCGACGGGCTCACATGCATGTGGGCTGGGGGACAACATCTGAGTGGCAGGGGGCTTTCTCTGAAGGTTATCGGTAAATTAGAGGGAAAAAACAGAGAATCGCTGGAAGTCATCCCATTTTCAGTCCCAGTATGGATGCTGAGGGCTACGCAGTGCGACGTGGTTCTCCATGGCCATGGAGGTGCTTTGGATGAGACCGTTCCCCTCCTTGCAGCAGGAGAAAGGGACACACTAGAAATGGCCATGAGAAGAGTGGAAAAATCATGTTCAGCTGAGTTTGTTGTCATTCTTTCCCTTCGTAGCTAATCACCTCCTAGACGGTGAGCCTGTAAAGATCATTAGATTAATTTCTTTCCTTGCTGTGACTTAATTATCTCCATTCGTACTGTACAGTGCTCGCACTGGGGATGTATTTTGCTAGCCTATATTTAGTTTGATCTCTACCGTGATACCGAAATGTAGAAATTAAGGCTGGCTCTTGGGCTCTTTGTGGCACTGAGATTCCGCAGACAATTTTCGGTCGGTTTTGCACAATCTGGTGTTTCAACAGTGTGATGCCGGGCACTGGGAGGTGCCGAGGGCAGCGTTGAACCGTCCGTGGTCCCTTGGGGTCCGCATGAGTGGGGGAGCAGCTCTGGAAGGGGAGGGATCACCCCGTGGGAGCTGCTCCTCCCTGCGGAGATGGTTTGAGGGGAAAAGAGGAAATATGAGGCAAAGGAATGAAAGTTAACCTTCTGGGGATGTAGTTACCCAGCCTGGGCTGCAGGGACGGGAACAGGAGGGAAAGGAAGATGTGGGGGAAGGCAGCAAAGTCTGTGCTTCCCCGCTGCAGAGGTGCAGCACATCCCCAAAATAACGTGCCCTGTCCCCGAATCGCACGATGGTGAGCTCCATATCCCAAGGGATCCTGCAGGCGGGGGCAGGCAGGCACTTCCCAAAGCCCACCCCCCCCGCGATCCTTAGCAGAAAATCTCCCACATGTATTATGTTGAAGCCAGAAAGTTCACCTCCCTCTGGGAAGCAGCGAGAGTCAGAGTGAAATTCCTCTCCGCAAGCGCCGTTCCAGAGCTGTCAGGAAAAAAAACTCGGTGAAAATTGTCACCAAATGGTATTACGGCTGGTTTTGTTTGCAGCGGGGGCCTGGCGGTGATGCAACGGGTGCCCACGCTGGCTCTGGGTGCTGGGTGCTCAGTGCTAAGCACCCAAGAATGCAAATCAGGGTGAAAATGCTCCCCCAAAACTACAAAGAAGGGGATGCCAAAAAAAAAAAAAAAAAAAAAACATCCCACCCTGCCATGTCTGTGCGGTGAGCTGGGGCCTGGGAGCTCCCGGGGCGGGGAGGGGGTCACCGAGCTGAAGAAACACCGCAAAAAATGACTGATTTAATGATGTGCAGTCAGCAGGGGCTGAGGGCTGGCCTTCCCCGCCCCGTTGCTGTTAGGGGTCCGTCTGTCCGTCAGAGCATCCCATCGCGCCAGCACAGCACCGCGGCCACGGGGACGGGCACAGGAGCAAAGGCAGGTAAAGGTTTAACTCGAGTTTATTTCTACGTAAAGGAGGTAACTGCGTTTTGGGACAGAGTTGTTAAAAAAAAAAAAAACACGAACACAAAACAGAAAACCAAAACCAAATCCAGCAGCTAGCCATTTGAGATAGTGAATGTCCTCCCCTCCCGGCCAGGCGGCGTTACCGACAGGCTCACCTGTCCTACAGCGGACAGGGGCTCTCGGCAACGGCTTCGCCATACAAGGGAAGGGCAAGAGGCAGCTCAAGAGAGACTTCCATCGTGGTATGAATTGACTTACAAGCAACCAAAGTAGTCCAGGCTTAACTTCTGCTTAGTAACGAAAAAAGAAAAGTAATTAGCTCACTTTTTAGTGATGGCAAGCCGGTCTGGGTTTACAGCGGTGTGCTATGCACCAGCTCGACTGGTGATGGCATCCAGGGCCACCAGAGCGGATGGAGAGCACCCAGTGGGTCCTGATGCAGCACAGCCTCATGAAACGGCATCTCCCCGTACACAGTGCCTTAATGACGGTGTAAAGATGTTTGGGAAAGTGGGGGCTGAGCCCTCCCTCCCTCCTCGTCAGCAGCGGAGGGATTTAAGAAAAAAAACTCCTGCCCTATGGATGATTTGAGGTGATGCTGGACCGACCCTGTGGGTGCCCGGTGATGGGGGAGGCCCTGACGCCGGCCGACTCCAGCGGCTAAATCATGGCATGGCTTTACACGGGAGTAGTTTGGGCATCTGAAAGTTGAGCACGAGGGAAAGCGGAGGGCAGATGCTTGCCCAAAAGGCATCTGTCAGCAAAGTCGCTCCACAAAACTCTTGGCCAACATTAACACGTCCTGGGATGGGAATCTGTTGTGATCTTCTCGTGCTGCGCTCGGGATAACCTGATCCGCCCTGCTGTGCCTGAGCATCGCATGTGGGGATGCACCGTGCATGTCAATGGGCTGCGCTTCCCCGTTAGCTCAAACTTAATTAGGAAAAAATAAGAGCCATATGGTAATTCCAAATACAGGCAAAACAATGTCTGTGTGTTTGGGTCTGGTATACTCAAATATTTTCCTAGAGCATTAATTTTTAATTCTTACATCAGACCCATATAAGCAAACATAAATAGGATTTTATACTTCACATAATCCATCCAGCTTGTGTTTGTTGTTACATATACGGAATAATCACAGCCTGCCACTACATACAGAAGAGCTAATGATAAATATTAGGACACCAACTTACAAGTTAAATGAGCTACAGTTAAGTAGTCAATTAAAAGGACAACCACAATCTAGGTTACAAAAGACTAAGTATTGCTTTTCTAATGTGCTTTTCTCCTTCGTTTCGGTCGCTCACCTGCCAAACCTGTACCAGGAGGAGCATATAGGAGAGCTTGGAGTCATTTGTGGCAATGTGCGTAGATTAGTGGGGTGTAAGCAGGCTTAATGAGGAGAATTAGACGCGGGGAACATATACAGGTAGGTATGGAAACGCGCTATATTGGCCCTGGCTGCTGAGGCGAGCAGCGGGGCCATTACCAGAAGGAGCTGTTTGTTCCTCACTCCCCGTCCCGGTTTCTTCTCCGGACTCGGTCAGGCAGAGAGGGACGGGCTCTGCTCGGCGTGGGCTCGCAGGAGCGCTGCGATGTCCCCGCGGGCAGCGCGCTGGGCCAGCGACAGGGCCGAGTTACCACCCTGCAGGGAGGGGGGAGGCCAAGATCTTACCACCCAAATCCCTGCATCTCACCCCGGCCACCCCCGTAATCCCCCCCAGCTCCATCCTCAACCGCCTCCGCTTCTTGGCCCCATCACTGCTGAGAGAGGCTGTTTGCAACCTGCCCGCTACCGAGTTTTTCTCAGCTCTCCTGCGAGC